TGAATATTTTGGGTATCAAATCGCTTCCTATCACCATATCTATGCGGGCCGGTGCAAAACAATTTGGATCTGCCAAATTGAGCGAGGAGTACTCTTTCAGGTCTGTATAGGTAACCTTGAATGAGGGCAAGAATTGGGTAAGCTTTGGGAGAATTATCGCTTGAGTTGCGATTTGAACCTGCAAGTCCGGTGAGCAAATTGTCATCGTGCAGGTTTTGTTAGCGTTTTGGACTACCCGTCCACCCATACCTAAAATCTCATATTTTGTGTTGCTTGTTGGTAGACCCAGCAGCTTTTGGATGCGGGACGATACAAAGGTTTTTTGGGACCCTTGATCTATTAACGCTCGAACTGGAAAAGTTTCACCTTGATGTAAAACGGGTACAATTGCGGTGGGGAGCAAAGTTTTCTCCCTACTACTAGCAAAATGTGAAAATACCTTGTCCTTTTGGCCTGTGTTCGAGGGGCCTGCGTTTTTTGGGGTTTGCTTGGATGTTGAGTATTTGTCAGGGTCGAAATTTGCTTGAGGCGACGTCTGTGCCTGGCTTATCCTTTGCCGAGCACCAGAGTTTGATGATTGGGGCTTATACTCATAATTTAGGAGTGAGTGGTGGCGTTTTTGGCAATACACACACGTGAAGTTGCTTCCGCATTCACCTTCTGTATGCGAGAATGCCAGACAGTTCCTACAATATTTGTTGTCCTTAATAAACTTATTACGATCTTGGACGGAGAGTTCCCTAAATTTGACGCAGCTCATCATCGAGTGGTTTGAGTTACAGAGCTTACAAGATACCTGCCTCTTTTGCTGCATTTGGAATGCACGGGTTCTGTTCTTGTAGCTGAAGGAGTGATTAGCAGGAGTTGACGACCTGGGAGTGTGATTCTGAATGGGCTTCTGGTTAGGTTTATTCGGCCTGTACGTACCAAGCCGCTCTACCACTTCATACCGGGTTGTAAAAAATTTGTCCATTTCTGACCAAAGAGGCAGTTCTTTTCTGGAGTCTAGAGATTGCTCCCATAACGTGAGTGTTTCGTCTGGGAGCTTTGAGGAACAGAGATATATTAACATCGGGTCCCAACTTTCTGTGGCAACGCCGTTTGCATACAATACTGAGAGGCAATTGTTAATAATGGTTTGGATCTCTTGGATCTTTTCACCATTTTCCGAATTTAGGGGTTGGATGCTAAATAGGGTTTTTATTTGGCTATCAACGAGAATCCTGCGATTCTCGTAACGTGATCTTAATGCGTCCCACGCCAATTCAAAGTTTTGGTCGTTTAACGCATAATTTCTTATAATAAGGGCTGCCTTCCCGCGAGTTTTTTGCCTGAGGTGGTAGAGTTTCTGAGCTTGAGACAATTTTGGGTGTGCTATGTATATCGCTGTAAATAAGTCCCGGAACGATGGCCAATCTTCGTAGCTTCCATAGAAGATTTCGGTGTCGCATGCAGGCACCTTGAGGTAATTCTGGGGAGCGGTCGACATCCGCGACTCTGGATCCGGTGGGTTGTTTCCATTGGCTGATTCTGTTGAAAGATTGCTGATAAGTTCATTTATCCGCAATCTGGTGCTCATGGACGAGTCGATGCAGGTGTCATACTTCGCTTCGCACACTCTTCTTGTTTTCTCATCTATTCCACTTAATTGCGCTGCTCGGTTGCCTGGTTCACTATGTCCACGAGTTTATGCAGTTCTTCCCGATACGTCTTCAGACCTCTTTCCGTGTGGTCACTTTCGCGGACATTCCACCACCTAGTGCAGAATTTTTCAAGTTTAGAGACTTCAAAGAGGAACTTTTTTTGAATGTGGATCAGTTCCTCTTCCTCGGCTTGGGATTTCGACCGTGTTCTTATGCCCTGTGGGGCCTGTAGACCTGTGGGTTTATCTTGTTTTTCGTCAGTCATTGCGTTGTAGTATTAGGGATTTTAAATTGTACTGAGTTTTTAATCAATAATTTATACTAAAATTTTAATAGTTGTTGAGTTTTGACCCACTGTATTTTTATGTGAGGTGTTTGTGCGCTTGTCCTACTGTGCTGTCTGAGTACAGTAACCGTATGTATGCATGTATGTATGTATTCCAACGTTAATAAATATTTTGCTTTGAGAGCGAAGCAAGTGGATTTGTTTTTCACCCCCGGTCGCTCAGCGCTAATTATGTGCGACTGTGAATATGTGTATGCACAAACGTATATGTACACCTTGTTAAGCCGTTAGCCAAGAATATTTTTTATATATATTTACGTGTGTACGAACGTATATACACCGCGACCACCGGCTAGTGATACCAGCTGTACCAACCAGTATATATTTGTTTTAAATATTTACTTATGTCGCTGTATACATACATACATACATGCAAGCTAACGAGATTGATATTGTTAGGCTGGTTCGAAAAAAATCGAAATTTTAAGTGCGACGCTGATTGGGTTTTACACAAATCGTTGGCCTAATTTTGCGCCTTATTTATGCATATATGAAATGTACAAATGAGTCAAGAGGGAAATATTTTGATACACATATGTAGCCGTACTGTTTATTGAGTAGATATACATATATGCACTACTATATATAATTATGTTTGGTGGAGTTTTATTTTTTATTTTTTTCTTTCCTGCCTCAGCGCATCTGACGACAGCTAGCGATATGTATATATATATATGTATGTATGTGTGTTCTTTTGGGTCTTCCTAACAGATGAGTTGCTCGCTTTTTGAGGGCAGGGTGTACCTTATGTTAGCAATTGTGTATGTGCGTACAAATGGACGTTTGATTAATAGGGTGGCTCTGATTTGTAGAATTGAGATTTTCTGAATTTATTTTTTGTTGAGTTTAACGCAAAAAGAGGGCTAAGTGGAATGTTTTGTTTTTTTTTGTTTTTAAGTATTGCGATGAGCACAAGCTGCATATACTAATGTAAACGGGATTTGTCTATACAACTGTATAAGTAAAATAATTGCTGGCGATCAAGTGGCGGGAAAAAGTTCTGACCAAAGATGCAAAGGGTGTATGTATGTTTACATGTACATATACGTATGTACATATAACTCTTCGCATATACTTTTTTGGGTTAGCGGTTTTATGTACATACATATATATATAAATACGTTTGAACTCACGATTTTGCAAAAGGGAGCTAGGCGAGAGCTGAATATGTGTACATACATGCGCGTATTACAAATGTGCAATAGCGGGAATTTTTAACGCCACCCCAGCAGGAAATTGAGACTCAAAGGCGTTTCGAGATATGTTTACCCAGTGAG